CCTTAGCAAAGCGCATCCCAGGCTGCATAGCCGCACTACCCTACCCAACCATACCACACATAAACATGACACTACCCCCGGGGTTTACACAGACGAGCCGGCGAAGCAAGAAGAGCGCCAGAAGAAAGGGCCCTAGCCGGCGGGGCCCAGCCAGGACAAAAGGAGGTCCCACAAAGCGCCTACACCGGCCGCATTTGCGGTCGGGGTAGACGACGGATGGGGCCCACCTACGAAGGCTGTCCAGGCCTACACGAGATGAGGCAGGATAAAGAGGGATAATCCCCCTCGATCCCAAATCATTGAGGCCAATTTCTAGCCATAGAATAATGGCGGCGAGTTACTATTTTAGCCAAATCGAAAGGCCCTATGATTGTTTTGGGGATAATGAATTGTATCAATTGTAGATTGTAGATTAACATTAAGATTCAATATCAATTTTATAACAGCATAAAAAAACGTGCAACGTTTGTATATTTTTATTGTTTCTGTAAGAAGTCTGATTATGTAATTTCAAAGGATTGTGTAAGAAATATTTATTGCAATATTATAAATATATCGTCAAATCTGTGGCTTATTAGAATAAATTTAAACGATTAATTGTTTAAGTTTTAAAATTTGATATCACAAAACCTACATGTATATATTTTTATTAAGAAGTTGATCATGTGATTTCAAAGGATTGTGTAACAAATATAATACTATTGTTATCAAAAAAATACAAGTACCTATAGTACACATAAGAATCACAAATGCATGCCAGAGCAGAAAAACTAACAAAGCCAAAAAACATGTCGGAGGAGTTGTCTGGTGTAACAGTTGTTATAATTATTGGATTAGGGGTGTTAACTTTTTTGCTATTGTTCATATTTGCCAAAAGGCAAATCATGCGATTTGCATTAAGGTCTCGTAGGGGGCCTCATGTTCCTATAGGACATGACGCTTCAAAGGTAATTAGTTATCAGCCTAGTTGTGTGTATGACACTATTTCAATGATTTCTTATAGGTGTTGAAAAGAGAAATAGAAAGGCGAATAGACCTAGTACAAAAAATTATGTGTGAACCCCAATTAATCAGTAAAACTGATCCAAGATATATTGTTTGTCCAGGCCAACAGATTCCTGCCCATTACTATAGACTAAAAGCTGTAGACGATGTGAAAGTTTTAGGTGATGAATTGTAAATTAGGTAAATTCATAGAATCGAACAGACAAGATTTTCTTTTAGAGAGTGAGATTACAAAGCAGGATAGTTGCTTATTTCGGCATCCTAGTGAAAATTTAAGGGCATATCTTTTAACAACTTTAGCAGCTCCATTAAACGGCAGTGGGCAGAGACTGATTCATCAATTCTGCGATTTATATGAACATGCTAGACATGACCCCAGCCATTTTGGAGATGAGGAATATCAACAGTATAACAGACTTTTGTTGAAGTTAGTGGATGCGTAAGTCAAATATAACTTTTATCCTTAATATTATGCAATAGTTTAAGCATTTTTTGAAGATTGTGGGACAAATTTATTTTTAGGACAAAGCTTCTAAAATCGTATAACACAAGTAGAAAGTCGTCACCTAATCGTACACCACAAAAACGGCTACCTGTTGAAAGATCTAAAAATATGCATTCCAGCTATACTACTGAGGAGGAAATTTTAAGCGTTTCAGATAAACTTGAATCTAGACCTACTTCATTAACTGTTCCCATTTCTACTGATAATGAAACACCAGTCTGAAACTGCTTTATCTTACAAGTAGGCACCTACCTTAAATTGGATTTTTTTTTTTAGTGATATTGATAACAGTAGTATTAAATAAATTATTTGATGTATCTGTACAATTACATTTTTTTTAATGTGTTTTTGTTTTCGACACAGCCTCGCTTTATTTTTAAAAATCTGTTGAAGTGTAACCAATCTGGAAATTGAAAAATTATCAAGGAAATTTTCACATTTTCATAGAGTGTCATTAAAAATTAGTTTGTGATACCGTTATTCACATACTCGTTTTTTTAGTAGGAAAGGAAAAAAAATATGTCGGGATGGTCCAAGAATTTTGACTTTTTTTTAATTCATATGAGGGGGCCTTTTTTGCAGTGGAATTAATGCAATACATTTTGCACTACTTTGTCCATTAAAGCTTTTCAGTGTTTCTATCTCCAATAGATTCTGAAATCCCTGTAATAACAATTAAAATTTTGTACATGATTTTAGAAAGAATGTAATCATTTTTGCTGGTTTAAATAAAGTGCAACCTAAATATATCAATCAGTTTTTAATTTACAAGAAAATGATGTTATTTTATTAAAAAATGTATTTAGGGATTGATTTTAACTTATACTTTTTATATATTTTTTAATTAAAGTAGGCACATTATCATTATTAAATAGCAAATATTCCCATAATAAATATATTAATAATTTGACCAAAGAAATATTTATTTATTTTTTAGCTGATTAAAATGACATTTTCTCCTAAACGAAAAAATCTGTATTTGACAAGGAAAAATCAGGAAAAAATTGTTTTTAAAATCATAAATAAAACAGTTCCCTGTTTGGTGTAAATTTTATGACAGCCACTACATAATTTTTGATATAATACTTTAACACGGGAAACACTAACAAAAAATAGGAAAGGATGGTAATTGACAGTTCCTATTTTCGCAAACTATTTTTTATCAAAATTTAATATACATCCTAGATGAAACTTTCTTTAATTCCAAATGGTTTTTTCATTCATTGATGACGAGTATATAGTACAAGTTGAATATAATAAATTAAGATCAAATGAAAAACTTATAAATTTATGAACATAATTGTTATCAATAATCAGAATAAGTTTTTATATCTTGGTTGATTACAAACTTTGTCATTATTGAAGATCATACTAAGCCAATGGTTCCCAACCGGTGGTCCGTAGCCATCTTTCAGGCGGTGCGCCAGACTGAGTACAACTAATTAATATCATATAAGCTGGAGCATTGATTGAGCGGGTATGTATAAATTGGAAGGAAAATAAATAATGAGTAGTTTTACAAATATTTTTGTATTTAAAGAGAAACTTCATGCCTTTTGATAAAATCGACTTTCCCATGCTAAAGAAACTTGTCTGAAGTCTTATCGAAGTTTTGCCTATCACTTAAAAACTCTCAAAGAGAAATTTTAAGTCCCAAGTGTTGCTAAGTAGATCTTAGAATGGGAAATGTGATAAATATAATAAACTAAATAAAAGTCCAAAAACTGGAAAAAAATCATTTATATAGACTGAAATTGTAATAGTCACTAATACATATTTTCTCAGCTAAGAAGAATGAAAGGATTTATCTAGTGATATTTATATAAAATATGATTTCATCTAAAACATTGTAGAATTGATTAAATATTTTCCCCTAAATGATATCGACAACTGCCTTGCTACTTAAATATTTCATCCATCTCAAATTTTTTAAAAATTCCTCATCATGTCTCAGAGACCATAAAGTTAATCCAAATAAATTTCTGTATTCACTTGGAACTGTTTCTTCTGCATTCATATGAAATAACCATTCCAATGCCTACCAAAAACAAATTTGCAAACCAACACTTAATATACAGGATGTAGATTTATGGTGGTATAAGCCATTATTAAAATAATAGGCCAATCAATAGAGGTTTTGTTTGTGCCAAAAATACTAGTAGCAAACAGACTGTGCCAACATGTAAAACAGTCTGTAGGTATGCTTATGTTTCCTACTCCAATTTACCATTTTTTAATTTGCCGTCATATATGGCACAGTCCGTTTGCTACGAGTATTTTTGTCACAAAATCACTGATTTAATGTGCTATTGATTGGCCTACAAGTAGAAGACAAATTAAATTAGACAAAAGTTTAAAAAATATTAAATAGACCCTAAGTACCTATACTATACTAATTGGATATTATAACTTCCTCAAAATTACAAATACATAGTAGCCTATTACGATTTTTTAGCAAATTTTTTAAAAGATAGTATATAACAGTATTTTTTTACCTGAAATCTAATTTGATTTTTTATACAAATCAAAAATTATTGTTATGCGGGTGATTCGCAAACGATGACCAAAAATAAAACCTCATATTCTTTGGTGAATTTTAAGAGGAGTCTTTCATATAAAGTTTTTGTCTAGGGCGCTTCGTTAAAAAGATACAAGGTGTTAAACTTAAAAACCTGTTTAATAATTTAAAAACTAGGAAGGAAATAATTTGAAATTGGGCACATCTATGTATGTAAATATTGTCCAAAATCTGAGGCGTTTTCCTAAAATTTAGATGCTCGAGTGGCGGCAGAAAAACGGTATTGGTGGCATATTTTTCTGAATAAAATAGTACACTCTGCTTTACAGTAACAACCCTGATATTTTCGGATTCGTCTTTCAATTTTCTGCAAATTACTACTCTCTTACGTTTTTTGGAAAAAAGCCTGATTTTCGAGTAAAACTTAAAAAACGAACTGAAAACACTTTTACTTAAATTACATGACAGACACTAGACATTCCGTTATTTATTCCAATAAAGAAATTAATAACATTAGTTATCATTTTAATGATTTTATTTGAGTAAATCGTCAAAAATACCTCAATTTCCACGAACACAGGTGCAATATCTTTTTAGTAACAAAGATGTAATTTGTTTGAAATTTATTGTTGCTTGAATCTGATGTAAAGCATCATTTATTATTTCCTATAACTGCTCAGAATGTCAAAGTTGCTATCGCAGCCTACTATGATATTTTAAACAGCATGTTATCGAAGTGTATATTTTTAAGTTTAACAGCCTGTATCTTTTTAACAAAGCATCCTAGATAAAAACTTTATACGGAAGACTACCCTAAAAATTCACCAAAGAATACGAGGTTTCATTTTTGGTCACCGTTTGTGAATCACCCTGTATATACTTACATATGTGCATTTTAAAGCTATTTGATCTATTTGACCTATTAAAAATACTTAAATTTACATGTGGGTATTTTTTACTCTTATAATGGCCTGTGCAACTTTAAACTGGGATACACTGTATATAAATAAATAAGAGTTAAAAGAACATAAAATAGATTTGCCGAAAAATTTGTTCTTACCTGAGTAGTGCAAACACTCCAGTCATTCATGCTTAATAAAGCATTAAATGCTTGTGGAAATAATTCTTTTCTTCTTACATCATGATCAAGATTTTCATCTATTATTAGAAAGGTTGAATATCCGGAAAATTCTACTATAGTCAAAATAAGCAAATCAAAATAATACGACATTTGTCCTTCATCACATCTTTCTGCTACATTTGATTGAATCTGTCCTATTAATTCTAAAAGCCATAGCGCACATTCTGATGGATTATTTACATGTTTTCTAAATACTTTGACAAATTCATTAACAATGAAGTTGTTTCTGAAAAATTATGAGTTTTAGTAAAATAATTAAGTAGTTCTGAATTTTTAAGCTTTATTTAACTTTTGAATCATTCTTTTGGAACAGAAGTTTATATTCAAAGAAATAAAAATATTTTGACATTAATTTTTACATACAAGCATACTATTTTAATTAAATAATTTACAAGTTTAAAAAAACCTGAAAGAAATTAAAAAATTCTAAAAAACTTTTTATTAACCTTTCGATTGAACTAGAAACTTCAATAACTTCGTTTAACCAAAGTAAGGGTGCAACCTTTGTATTTGAGGCAATAGAACACCTTATTTTTGTTACTTTTTCTAACCACTCTTTGGACACGTCAGATTTTAGATTTGTTATCTCGTCAACACATTTTTTTGGTAACATGATTACACATTTCAGAAGTATGTCAAATAACTAAAAAAAAAAACAGTTAAGCCTGTATCAGACAATGCAGTTTTGTTGCAGGGATTTGGTTGCCGCGATAGAATCCATGAAATTTTTCTTATCAGACTATGCAATTCTGTCCAATTCTGACAACTGAATTGCATGAATTAGAACATGCTCTATTCCGTGCAACAAAATTGCAGGGATTCTAGTTACTTTTATGAAGATTTGTTTATTACCAACCTAGGTGTTGTTGATCATGGTTGTTGTTAGTAACACCGTTAAAGCTACTATTAAAGCTATACAGCAATTTACTTTTAAATTTTCATCCATTGCAATGTTTTGCTTGAATAAAAAATAATTGTTTACAAGATACATACAAGAAATTTTACATGTTAAACAATGCAGTTGGTAACACTACTGCAAACTAAACAAATTGCAGCAATTCTGTCCCATTATTAATAAGAATGCCATTTTAACCCTGCAACAAAATCCCCGAAATTTTGTCGCTGCAACTAAATTGCATTGTCTGATACAGGCTTCAACTAAACATTGATTTAAAAAAAACTATGTATCATATACTAACAAGAAATAATGTAATAATGTCTCACCTCAGATTTTATGTCTACAATAAGAATTCTATCATTTAAAACGTCTGCAATTGTTATCTTGTTAGTTTCTTGTATTTCAGGATTTTGAAGAACTTCCTTAATGAATTCTAATATCTTTTCTAGTAAACTCTTGTCTCCACTCACATATTTGCCAATACTGAACGCTATCGTTTTTTCAAAAAATGGTTTCAAGATTAATGGTTGAATGCTATTTGCTAGGTATTTAAAATTCCTCAGCACGTTCATAATATCATCGTCCTGTAAAATTAATTATGTACCTACTTGAATTTTAAAAATTAGTTTGGATTTTCTCTAAAAATTTAACATACATGGCATGGAAAGTTTTGAGAAAATAACATGCAGATATTGTGATCATTATAGAAATTGTTAAAGTAACTAAAAAAAAAACAAATATTCATCTAGGGACCATTAATAAAATTCGAAACATTTTTGCTTAGCAAAATGTGTTATTTTTTCAAAATATTTCTTGATTCAATAGAAAACAACTTATGAGGGTTGTTCGATAAGTCTGTGCAAAAACAGAAGATTAAATATTTCAAATATTTCAGAATTTTTTTTTTGACATTCTTCTCCAGGGTCTGCACAGGCACTGCAGTTTGTAAAATTCAACCACATAATAAAATTTATGCAAGTCCTCTAAATAGCTTATTGTTTCAGCAATCATTCTATGTGAATTTTTTACCAGCAAAATATTTGTTCATATTAGGGAATAGTACATATTAGTCCAAGGATGTTAAATCTGGAGAGTATGGGGGATGTGTAAAAATTATATTGCGTAATTCAATTGTCACAATTGCAGAAGAGTGAGCTGATGCACCGTTTTGATGGAAAAGAATTTTCTTTTTTACCAGGTACTTGGCTTTCCTCCTTTATTAAAAATGTCCCAGTTAAAATCTTATTTTTTCTAGAAAATCAATTAGTTCACGGAATTTTACCAGCGTCGTCAGCGATCTCGACCCGTCTCGATGATAGATTAATATGAGAGTATTTGGACGACTATTTTGTAAACATAAGTTAAGATTAGTGAGTGTGGCACTCTTAGACAGGCATTAGCGTAGGACACACGAATTATCCCAGTACACCATATAAGTCAATTAAAGTTGTTCTAAGAAAAGAATCTGTTTTTTTTTGTTAAAAAGTGTTAAGATTATGCCAAAGGCATCTCAGAAAACAGCGACCACAACTTTTCCCTGTGCTAGAACATACTTTGTTTTCTTGGGAGTGGGTTCTCCAATGGCAATACATTATGTTGACTGTTCCTCAGTTTCAAAATGGTACTGATAAATCATTCTTCTATTATTATTAATGAAGAAGAAATTGGATTGGATTGTGTTGAAACAGTTTCAAAATTTGCTTACAAATGTTCACATGCTGATGCATTTCATCGAGAATGAGCAAACATGGCACCCACTTAGCCCAGAATTTCCTTGTGAAAAAAGTTTTTGTAACGTATTTTCAATCTTTCATCTTCCATGACTAATGTCAAGAACATTTTGAAATATTTCTACAATTGTGATTTTGATATTCACTTTTCTCCATTTTTTTATATGACTATACTTAATCGATGTAGGATATCACCAAAAATAAATTATTCAATGAATAATCCGATTAAAACTTATTATATCTTTCTAGAAGAAATGTCTAACCTTAACGTTATGCTCTTGATTTTGCATGGAGTTATCGAACAGCTTCATAATTTAAACTAGTTTTTATTATTTTTTGAATACGTACCTGTAGATTTTCTGTCACAGCCACAATATAATTTTCTACAAGCCGACGAGCTGTACCAGATAGTATTGCTTGATGAGATGCAATGTCTATACAGTAATTCTTTATTCTACTATCATGTAATAATTCTTGTAGAAAACACCAGTCCAATGGTGGTAATGGTTTACTGTATTCCTTGCTAAATATTCTTAGACATTCAATGTACAGAAGGTCATGAATGCTGTGTTTCCATTTAGTTGCCTTATAGAGTATGTTATTTTTAAATAAATTAATGGGAAAAAAATGGTCAAAATTATAGAATATATTTCAACAAATACTTGACTTGTAGTACTTATTGTACGAATTAGTTTACTATATTTAGTTTTTTTAACTGTAGGTACCTCCTAAACAAAATTTTGATTAACTTTGAATGTCAACTTTAACTGACCATAATATTATTAAAATAATACTGAAAATATTTTAATCAAATGAGTTCATTTAGAAAGAATTTTAATTTGATTTTGGTAAATTTTGTAAACAAAAAAGAAATCACATTAATTACCCATGTCTTTATAAACTCTCCAATTCCTCTCACAATACTATGAGTGGGCAAATAGTCGTAGTTTATAGGTTCCCTATGCCCTTTAACCTGATACACATATTTTAAATATCCTGCAACCTCTATGGATATCATTTTTATTATAAAATCACCTGCTTCTTTATATGCTCTGTTTTCAATGAGAAATTTTACCCAGGTATTTCCTGCAAATTGTGTAATATATGTGATCTGTTAAATTAAAAATCATAATAATACCTGGAACCGTTTGTGGAATTCCTACTGCAGTCCTTTTTCTTTCTTGGATTGTATTATTTTCTAAATATTGTTCTGGCAACTGAGAACATATCTGTTCTAAACTGAAAGAAGTTAAACTGTTTAGCGCTGCTTCAGCTATTTCTGGAGTACCAATTTGGACATAATCCCATAATGTTTTTACTATCTCTTCTTGTAATGCCACGTTGGATTCAGCATATGGTAGATGGGGGATTTCGTGTAATAGAGAACATAAACTAAAAAACAGGTTTGTTGATTTAAAATTTAAAATTTTTATTAACAAAAGTGGTATTCTTTCATGCACAATAAACTGATTACCATCAGTAATTAGCCAATTATAACACAATATTTTTTAAATTCTAAATTAATTCAATGGTTCTTCACTGATTGCATTTACTTTATTCGGCATGAGAGGATATACAGGCTGTTACAAATTCGCGTCTCACTATTATAGGGATCTTGGAAACGGTAAGAGATACAAAGTAGCTTAAACGGGAGCAAAGTTGCATAATCAGGGGACCAACATTTTGCTTCTAAATAATCAACATGATTAATTTTCAAAATATTTGAAAAGAAACGAAATTTTGGAAATTCGTTTTTGTTTCATATCAGCCTTGTTTAAGGTGATATTGCCCTCTATCGAATGACATAATCAATTTTTATACGTTTCATCTCTCCAGGACCATCATCAACTTCATTTTTTTAAATACGATCCTGGAAATTTTATTACATTTTTTCCAAGCCTTCATGACCCCCCAATACTGTACTGCCTCAGCCCCAACCAGATTCAGACGTTTTGTCTCGAAAAATTCATCTTCAATATATTCCTTCCAAATTTATCCAATTTTTTATTTAGATTTCTATGTTTATGTAATTATCGTATAATCTAAGTGTCGTTAGACCCTGTGAAATCCAGCTAATTTGTTATACTATTACTATTACACGTCACAATAAAATATTAGTGTTTTTATCTCCATCACCTGGTCATACATAATTCGATAAATTGTTGTGTCAAAATTAAAACATTATTACAATTTTACTTTCATTATGACAAATTAGTTCTTAAAAATGCATATGAACAACCAAAACTCTAAATGAATGTTAATATACTTTAAAAAAAATTACAGTAAATGTTCAAAAACGTTTCCGTTTTGGAAAATGCTGAAAAGCATATCTGATCTAATAATGTTTTATTGTAACGTGTGATGATAATAGTTTAAATAACTAGGTGGATTTCAAAGGGTCTAATGACACTTAGAGTATGTGATAATTCCAGTAACATAGAAATCTAAATACAAAAATAGATAAATTTGGAACGAATACATTGAAGATGATTTTTTCCACACAAAACACCTGAATCTGGTTCGGGCTGATGCAGTACAATATTCGAGGTCATGAAGACTTGGAAAAAATGTAATAAAATTTCCAGGGTCGTATTTAAAGAAATGAAGTTGATGGTCCTGCAGAGACAAAACGTTACATATAAAAATTGATTATTCCATTCGATAGAGAGGAAAAGTTGCCATGAGAAAGTATTCTTCTTTTTTTCAATATCACCTCAAACAATGCTGAAATGAAACAAAAACGGATTTTGAAAATTTCATTTTTTTTTTCAAATATTTTGAAAACAGCCTTGATCTTTTAGAAGCACATAATGTTGGTCCCTTGATTTTGCAACTTTGCCCCCATTTAAGCTAGTTCGTATCTCTTACCGTTTCTGAGATCTCTGTAGTGGGAAGCAAATTTGTAACAGCCTGTATATAGTCCAGACGGTATCTGTTTCAAAAAGCCATATTTGGGTGAATTGTATATCCACAGAGATTTTTGGCTTTTTGGCTTTCAAATATCACTAGAAATGAAAATGTTTCTATGCGCATAAAAAGAACATGGACTTAACTTTTGGCGGCACAATATGTTAAAAAAATTCGAAAAATGTCATATTTTTCTTCCTATTTAATTATGTATCTCTTCAAGAGTTGATTTTAAGCGAAAATGGAAGAGGAAAAAATGTTTGTAATAAAATTTTTTACAAAATATGACCAGTTACAAATCGAATGAATCATAATTATTATGGTAAAAATCGAAAAAATCGCAAAAATGGGGTTAAAAAACAATAGATACAATAAAATTGCAAATTTTCACAATTTTGCACAGCAAAAACCAAGGCCCTTAAATAATTGAAAATTTAATCACATATAGAAGGGCTCTCAAGCTTTCAAACCTTTTCTGAAAAATTCGAATCCGTCAATTAGGAGAGCTCTGGCCCTTGTTTAAACATTAGTCGAATTTTTGTACTTATATACAATTAGAATAACTTTGTGAATATTCAATCAAATCAAATTTTTTTAAGCAGGTTTTAAAAGTTTTTGGAAACACTTCTTTTAAAAAAAACAGATCGATTGGTCAATTAGTTACGTAGTTATAGACGAAGTTTACCGTCATTTACACTAAATGTACTGGTACATCCGGGTTAATCTTTCAAAAAATACCTTTGGTATTCTGAGTACTTACCAGGTCTAAGATTACAATACTTTTCTTCATTGGCATTGTAAATTTTTCTTAATCAAGTTATTTCCTACAACTTTGCATTTGGTAAGTACTAGTCTATTACTTCAAATAAAAAAAGTTGGCCTATGTCAGATTTAAAAAAATAACACTATATATACAGGTTGTAGAGATTCTTTTCCCAACAGTATATACGTGTATCCATTTTTTTCAAGGTCGTATTTTTCGAATACGAAATAATATATTGAAATGAAAGAAAGATTATTTTTTAATATTAATTTTTTTTGTGATTAAGGTATAATTCAAACATTATATTACTAATTTTCGTCATATTTTAAAAATAATTGTTGTTTAAACAATTTCAGAATATTTAAATAAATTTGTTTTTGATCTTTGATGAACAGTATATAAGTTTATGCACTTACCTTTGATACAATAGAAAAATAAAGTTGAAGTAAAGGAAGTTTAAAAATAAATAATTATCGGAGTGTTGAAAGACTAATAATTATTAACGATAGGCATTTGAAAATACGGTAAAATTAAAAAAAAAATCATCAAAATCGGACCTATAGAAGGTGAGATATTAAAAATTTTTAAGCGCATCACGGTTTTGAACTCGCCGAATCAATTTCGAGCAGGCCGAAGCGGCCGTGCTCTCTGCTTCCCCCACCACCACCACCTGTACGATTTTCTTGAATTTCTCGCTTGCATAAATAACTTTAAACACGTTTTAAAGTAGGTTGCCAATGAAGAAAAGTATTGTAATCTTAGACCTGGTAAGTAGGTACTGGGAATACTAAAGATATTTTTCGGAAAATTTGCCCGGATGTCCCAGTACATTTAGTGTAAATGACGGTTAACTTTGATCGGCTATATAACTACGTAAGTAATTGACCAATCAATCTGTTTTTTTTTTTAAAGAAGCGTCTTTCCCAGAACTTTTAAAACCTACTTTAAAAAATTTGGTATCGAACCGATTTTGATGAAATTTAGTGTGATGATTCTACATAACATGAACTTTTCTTGAGCCAAGTATAAAGGTCCTATACCCAATTTAAGTACCCCAAAAAAATTCTCTAAAAAGTATTGTTTTTTAACCCCATTTTTGCGATTTTTTCGATTTTTACCATAATAATCATGATTCATTAAATTTGTAACTAGTCATGTTTTGTAAAAAATTCAATTACAAACATTTTTTTCATTTTCCATTTTCGCCTAAAATGAACTCTTGAAAAGATACACAATAGGAAGAAAAATATGACATTTTTGGAATTTTTTTAACATATTGTGTCGCCAAAAGTTAAGCCCAGGTTTTTTTTATGCGCATAGAAAAATTTTCATTTCTAGTGATATTTGAAAGCCAAAAAGCCAAAAATCTCCGTGGATATACGATTCACCCAAACCAAAACAGATACCGCCTAGTCTAATAAGTAATACTCCACAACAAAATTGTAGAGTGGGCCAAATTAGACATTTTTTGACTGTTTTCCTATTTCTAAAGATAAAAATAAAGTTGTCATGATATCAGAGGCTCAATTTTCGAGGAAAGTTCAACGGCAAAAATATCATCTCGCTAGCTCAATTCATTTGAGAGAGTATTTAATTTTGGTTCTTTTCTATGATCGTCACTTGTTTATTTATGAAAATATTTTATAATTTCCGGTTTTTTTATTATAACATAAACTTATGTTTTTTTTTCCATAGACCCCATAAAATTTTCATTTAAATTATAGGTCATACATATTTGTACAAAAAAATTCTTTCAAAGAATGAACACCAAAAACTATTTTTCTGTTTTTCTGTTTCTTGACATAATGTTTTGATGTAAAAAAAAATTATGGTAGAGATCTTTTAATATCTCATGAGCCGCGATATGCGCGAAAGGCGTGGCGTATCCCCATAATTCTTCTAATAAGCACGTTGTGAAAACATTGACTCAGAATTAGAACACGTGCACATTACAACTAGAAATGAACTAAGGCGCTCGGGCATCAATAAAGTCAACTGGCGAACGTTCGTTATATATACTTTTATTGTTTTAATTAAAATAATAAAGAATAGGGCATTTTATTATGATATTTGTAATCGGATCAAAGGCTTGTTTACGCTAGAGCTCGAGAGAGACTGTGAATAATAGGTGTAATGTTTTTAGGACGTAGAATAATTTAGGCAACGGTCGGAATTATGTTTCTGCACATATGAAGGTCACAGCTCATAAGATTTTAAAACATCTCTACACTGAATTTCATCAAGAAACAATTTGATTTACAAAAAAATTATTTATGGTTTATAAACTCAAAAAAAAAATGTGTAAATATCATACATCACTCGATAGGAAATTTTATGTTCTATTGAAAAAAAAACTATAATAAAAACTCTACAGAGACTAATTTGGTGATATTTCTGAAGACTCTGTACAAACACAATATTTAAAAAAATAGTTACATGCCTTTTAATAACCGGAACCCTAGCATCGTTTTTGAATTTTGGAGCTAATGTTGTCCAAGTGGTGACAGCATCGATTACTTCAGATTTACATAATATCCTAATTCCGTCTATAGCTATAGCACAAGGCAAGGAACCATCATTGTCGTTACATTCGTTTAGTATTTTTGATAAATGGGCAACTATTTCTTTTCCATATAGTTCTGGTCTGGAAAAATGGAGATTATGATAAACACAGAAATAATATATCAATGTTACAGTAATGGAGGTCTGTACCTAAGAAATAAAGAATTTTGGATATTATATTATAATGAGGCAAGTTTCAATATCTCTAGAAAGATAAATTTTAATACTCTTATATTTGCGAGGACAATATCAACTCAAAAATATTCTTGCTCAGTGTTGTAGTACAACAATTACATACATACTTATAAAAGGAACTGTTAATAAAATGCAAATATTTCTCTTGTACCCACATTTTTAACTCGATGTATGGTTTTGATTGCGGTGTTTCCTCCCTTTTCAGATATTACCATAAAATAAAATAATGTACCAAAAAACCTTGACCTGTATTTTTTTATATTTGCATCAAATCATTACTTAATTCATAATTTAAATCGAAATCTAAAATACAAATTTGGTGGACTGCTGTGACGAGTTAGGCCTTATAGTGCCATCTATTAATAGGAAGCTCAACTAAAACCTCATACCACTGTTCTTTTATTTGATAATAGAAAGTCAGAGAAGTACAATATTTTAGTCAACGTCAGGAAATAGGAAGTTTTCCGTAATAACATGTTCACAGCCTAGTATGTCACAAGTCAATAATAATGGCGAATAACGCAAATTTTTAAAATCAAATAAAAATTTATGTTATTAATGAAATTGCTTGTATAGACAGCAATTACAAATTGGTATTCAGTGATGAAACACTACATATTTTATTTTATGCACACACCCCATCGTAATGTGGGTTAAAATATCTGCAAGAGCTACAGATACATGAGACATTATTAATAACTAAAACTACAATATAAAATATGAAAACAATATACACTAGATTAGGGTACAGAACAACATAACAACATGAAATATACTGGATGAGTCCAGAATATTCAAAATTATGAGTTGTATAATTTACCTCTAACATACAGAATATAGTTTTTTAAAGATCCCCTACTACTTTAAAAAGGGACGTCTGATGTTAAATTTGACAACCCAAGGTAAACGGACATGATAAATCTGAAGAGAACAATTGCTCTGTTGCTAGAATGTTCTTTTTGTATATACAGTAGGCACTCGCTAATCGGACATGTCTTAGACCATTAAGTTGTCCGATTACTGGAAGTCTCCGACTATTGGAAGTAATCCAAAATATCAGAGTCTGGCATTTAAAAAGACACAATTTGATTAGGGTACATTTATTGAAAAACTATACTTTTAAAATTAAGTAAAATATGTAATAATATGTATAATGCTAAGACTGACTGACACTGCCTAATAATAACCTATCTGTAGTGGCGCCAAGCAACAGGAGTAGTAGGGGTGGTGAAATGAACTTGCTTTTGTCCGATTACCGAGCGGTCACCCATCAAAACTGTCCAACTAATAGAGCTGACCATGTCTTACTATTGAATGTCCGATTAGCGAGCGCCTACTGTATTGCCTATATTTTTATTGATTTAGATGAACACTTTCTTATAGTAAGCGATATATGATTTGATATACAGGGTGGTCCCGAGTTAATGGGCCAAAATTCATGGGTAGATTCCCGAAGCAAAAATATTGCGATTTAGCCGAACTTACCTTAGTCCAAAAGTTGATAGTTAAAGAGATACAGGGTGTTAAATGTAAAATATTATTTTAATTGATTTTCATTTATTTCTTAATAAATGCAAATATCTACACAGAATTTTGTTGTTTGGGGTTCTTTGGGTAGAGGAATTGAAATTTGTTCACATTTTAGTTATAGTTCATAGAGGGTGCCAGCTGCCGTAGATTGAATGTGTTGAAAACGACATAACGTTTTTGTACTTTAAGGTATCTCATATTTAGTACTAAATTCTTATTTTCCAACTTTTTTTACACAAAAAAAGGTATAATTTATGAAAGTAGCTGCCTTGCACCGTTTCCGAGATATTTGGCTCTGAAACTTCCAATGCTAATAGTTGAAATAATTAAAATAATTTAGAAATGTCAAAAACAAGGGTTTATTTAGAATTAAAAATTATAATGCTAATAGTTGAAATAATTAAAGTAATTTAGAAATGTCAAAAACAAGGGTTTATTTAGAATTAAAAATTGTAATGAACAGTAAAATAGTAAACATTAGTAGAAAAATATATATTTTGGCAATAATTGTTCAAAATGTCCACCTTTAACTTCAATACATTTATCAAAGCGTTTATTAAAAGATGTTTTATTTTAAAGTATAAATCCTTAACGCGAAATGACTACAGCATTTAAAACCTGCTGCTAAAGTTCTTCTCAGGTATTTATAGTTTCTCCATAAACAATTGATTTCATGTGGGTAACTCCAAAAACGACAATCTCGGCATTCTATATCACATTTATGTATACGAGTATACAATTTAAATTGTAAGCTAAGATGTAATTTTAATTAGGTACAAATAATACTTAATAGAAATTAGCATACAAATGGCAGCTATAAGACAAGTGGAAAACGACAATTTTTTATTTTCGTCCAAATCCTACTTAGGAAACTTTACCGCTAAATTAATAATACCTGTAGGTACTTAATAGGGTTGTTGACTATAAAAACAAACCATATACAAATTGTTGTTGATACAAAGATTTTATATAAAAGAACTTGCCTGTATAGTAACATTTTAAATATATGACAAATTAGTGGTACAAATCATTTATGAATTTTTGTGTTACTTAAAAACTAGTCTGACGTCATAAGGGGCAATTGAACAAGAAGCTAGTAGCGATCCTATTGCATAATTTTGAAGAAGCAGAAAATATATCAAAATTGTCCATCAAACCCTGTTACCCTGTTTCTTGTTTTTTAAACAAAAGTGACACTAGTGACAGCAGTCTATCAATTAAGAGTATTTGTGATAGTTATTATTAATTTCCTGATTATAATGGATTCAACAAAATTTAAGTGGTGTTTTGTTCCACATTCCACATAGCCAATTGCATTATCTCCATAAGACTCCCGAACTGCACACTAATTAGTGCATGTAGAATTAAATTATCTACTTTTTGAAATTTGGTCAACAACCCTATTGTAATTTTATGCAACGGCATTGGAAGTTTCAAAGCCAAATATCTTGAAAACGATGCGAGATAGCTACTTTCATAAAGTATACCTATTTTGTGTAAAAAAAGTTGGAAAATAAGAATTTGATACCAAACATGAGATATCTTAAAGTACAAAAAAGTTATGCAGTTTTTAACACATTCAATCTACTGCAGCTAGCGCCCTCTATGAACTTTAATGAAAATGTGGATAGATTTCAATTCCTCTTTCCAAAGAACTCCAAACCCCAAAATTTTGTGAGGATATTTGCATTTGTTAAGAAATAAATGAAAAAAAACTGAAATAATATTTTACATTTAATACCCTGTATCTCTTTAACTATCAACTTTTGGACTAAGGTAAGTTCCACTAAATCGCAATATATTTGCTTGGGGAATCTACCCATGAATTTTGGCCCATTAGCTCGGGACCACCCTGTATCTATCTCTATCTGTATGGTTATATGCTTACACACTCTTTTGGATATATTTCTCTAACTATTAGAAATAGACCTCATCAAATCTTATATCCTTGTAACTGTAAAAAAAGTTTTCTGCTATATCTAAAAAATTGCCAATCTAGCAACAATGTAAATGCTTTCTCAGGTAATATGTCAGTTTCCTTCTGAATGTCTATTACACAAAAAGTGCAACCTGCATGTATATTATTCCAGATGAAATAATCACTATATACAGGGTGTCCCAGAATAACGTATACAACAGAGGACGATAGATTCGTGGGCTTAAAAATAGGCAGATTTAGGTCAATTCACCTATATCCGAAATCGTTTTGTTTGGCTGTTAGATGGCCTCAATGTTTGTGAAAATTTTTTGAATTTTGTAAATAATTCGGTTAAGTACTAATCGATTTTGATTATTTTTGGGATGTGGACTTTTGCTTTCAATCTACATAGTGTTTTTTAAAACCTGCAACTCCTACAAAATTGATGTATGGTGATAATATCCGTTCATAACATTTTGTTCTTTCGGGAATAATGACAACTATTTTTTATCTGATAGTTGATACGATTTGGAAGTTTTTGGGCCTCTTGTAGAATTTTGATTAAATGAACGGTTTGAGTACAAAACATATTTTTTAAATATCTACATTATCATGCCACCCATATTATAATAGTTAGCAGTGTTAGTAGGCACTGATTTTGTAGGTTGACTGTAATTTCAGTCTTTAACTCATTGTACCTGACAATTCTTAGTGAGTGCTTATGACGAAGAGACATATCATCTGTTATTTCATTTTTCGATGTGGATACATACACATACGATGAATTAAAATTATTTACGTGCCTAATTTTATTCAAAAAATTAGAAAAACCAATCAAATACAACGCATTGATAGCATTATTATTGACCCTGTTATTCTACCCAATAGACTGAATGACGAATTTTGTTTAGAATTTTTGCAAAACACTTTACCCGAGTTATTGGAAGGTGTGCCGTTATTGCTCAGAGTTAACATGTGGTTTATGCATGATTGAGCTCCACCACATTTCACTGTCAATGTCTGGCAGTATCTGAACCAAAGATTCCCTCGTCGATGGATCGGTAGAGGGGATAATGTTCCTGTTAACTGGCCTGTTCGTTCACCAGACTTAACACCCTGCGACTATTATCTTTGGGGTACTTTGAAAACAACAGTGTATGCTTCCACATCTAACACTGAAGAAGAGTTGTGGGAGACATGTCCAAATTGCCATAAATGTTTTAAAAAATTGCCCTCAAAAACTGCAAAGGGTGTCCTTTAACTTTCTTCGCCGAATTAACTTTTGTCGTACAAACAACGGTGGTCATTTTGAACATTTATAATTAGTTGTACTAAATCTAATAACATCAACTTTATTACTTTTATCTCCAGTATTTTTTATTGTATTTGATGGTTTTTACCAATTATTTTAATAAAATTAGGCATGTTGTAAATAATTCATTGTATGTGAGTGTGTGTATCCATATCGAACCAACATGTGGTATATCTTATCGTATAAACACTCATTAAGAATTGACAGGTATAATGACTTGAAGATCAAACTGAAATTATAGTCAACCTACAAAATCTGTGCCTACTAACACTGTTAAGTATTGTAATATGGGTGGAAAGATAATGTAGACATTTGAAAAATATTTTTTTTTAACCAAATCGCTCATTTAATCTAAATTCTATAAGAGGCCCAAGAACTTCCAAATGGTATCACCTATCAAATAAAAAATAGTTGTCATTATTGCCCGAATGAGGAAAAGTTATGAACGGATATTATCATCATACATGAATTTTGCAGGAGTTGTAAGTTTTAAGAAACACTCTGTATAACACCAAAATGTGTAGATTGAAAGCAAAAGTTCACACCCCAAAAATAATCGAAATCGAATAATACGTATTCGACTTATTTACAAAATTCAAAAAATTTTCACGAACTTTGAGGCCATCTAGCGGCCAAACAAAGCGATTTCGGATATAGGTGAATTAGCGTAAATCTGCCTATTTTGAGTCCACGAATCTGTGGTCTTCCGTTGTACACGTTATTCTGGGACACCCTGTATAAACAAGAAAAGGTTTACTTACTTTCTCTCACACAGTTCCTTTAAAATAAAGGATTTTGTAACATACGTATCCCATTTTTTCTCTGGAAAGCGACTATGTATGAGCATATTTTCCAAATAAGAGTAACATTTGTTATCCGCTTTCCAGACCTCAAACGTTAAAGATAGACTGAAGTTATACAGATCTACTGAAGTTTTGCTTAAAGTCTGAAGCACACCCATAACTTTAGGTATATTGTCCCTCAACATTACCATTTTCGGAAATGCTTTCAACAGCATGAAGTGTAGTTTTGGACATGTCGTGTTAGACAACTTGTATAAAATCAGTGTAAGTAACTGAGTTGACAACATGTTATTAGCTTCAACATTCTTCAGAAGCAGTTCAAAAATCCTTATTACTACATCTGATTGAAGTATATTTGATAAAAATAAACCACATAGAAAGTTATATAAGTCTGTAGTTAAACAAGGAGGGCCTCGTTCAACACTTGCAATCCATTTTAGTAAACTATTTTCTTCTTTGAGATGTGTCAGAAGTAGGCAGATTTCTATTGATGCAAACACAGTTTTATTAGTACTGATAAGTCGTTTATTTTTGTGTACGAAGGTTTCAAAATCCAAATCATTTTTAAACGAGTCATTGTACATTTCTATGTACATAAACATTTTCTGTGCAATTTGATTAGCATCTGCTGTTAATATTGATGGGCCTGCTAACCATTGTAAAAGTGATGCCTTTAGTGACTCTAGAATATACGTCTGTTTTCCACCATAGGACAATAAAAAGTTACCTTAAAAGTAAAGTATTAAATTTAAAAAAATATATTCTTTTTCCACTCATTTATCAAGTGTTTTATGAAAAAAAGAAAATTAATGCTACCGCAATTGTTTATAATGCATTTTAAAAAAATGATTGCTGTTTATCGCTTTATAAGTAGAATAAATTGACAGTTTTATTACACTATTTATGAGGCACCCGGTATATGTGCTGTTTTTACTACAAAATTAAAATTATCGACTCAAACCAGTTTTACATTTACCAAATTGTTCAAGAAATTGCCACACTTCATCATTATTGAATAAATATTAAAGTCACTAAAATTTATTGAAGCTTGGAAGCTCTCAATCAGTTTACTGGACAAAAAATTGGTAAACATAAAACAGGTGTAATTGAATATATTCCTAGTTAAAACAATATTTTTTTTATGGCAACAAAATAAAAAATCATTAATTTTAATACTTACACAAATTTAAAAGATCCAATAGATAAACTGAAGAACATATTGGAAGCGTTTTTGTTAGAATTAATAATAAACAATTAATTGTTGCTATATGATCAATGTCTTTTACAATACGTTTCAAAGAAGAAATGCATAATCGTAGATCAAGTTTATTTAATGCAAGGTTATACAAAACAGAAGTTTGCCACAATATAATTATCTCTAAATTGTATACCGATTGGTAGGAAGCAACATTAAGTGCTTCACTTAATAATTCACTACTTGCTTCTAAATTATTTTTTGTTTCCACCTAAAAAATACTTTTTATTTATTTACGTATTATAAATGGTGATTCACAAACGGTGACGAAAAATTAAACTCCATATTCTTTAGTGAGTTTTATGAGGAGTCTTTCGTATAAAGTTTTTATCTAGGACTCATTGTTAATAAGACAAAGGGTGTTAAACTTAAAAAAATATTTTTAATTGTTTTAAATAATTTAAAAACTAGTAAGTGAAATAATTTGAATTTTGGGCACTTGTATTTATATAAACATTGTCCAAAATCTGAGGCCTTTTTTAAAATTTAGATGCTCCAGTGGCGGAGATACAGGGTATCGGTAGCATATTTTTCTAAATAAACAGGCGTTATATGAAAGACCCCTTTTTCACCAAAGAATTTGAGGTTTCATTTTTGGTCACCGTTTTGTGAATCACCCTATATATTGCATGATTAAATAGAGCAGGAAAGTAAAAGAATAAAGAAAATATGTCAGTAAAGACATTATGGGGCCATTCTACTCACTTGCATTAATCCAAATATATCAAAGAGAATTCTTTTGTCCAGGTTTTTCCTACTTAGTATAAAATTCCAAATATTCTGCTTCAATAAATATCTGCTGCTTGGAACTGGATTACATAAAGCATACAAGTAAACTGGCCGAAAAATTTCAGTAACATATTCACTACATAAAAAGTATAAACATAGCGAGAAAAAAATTATTTAATTGATTCAACTTACCTATTTTCCTTATCACTGACACACCTGATTTCATTGAGCACATGATTCCAAACATCAGGGTTTTCATTTAGGATTGTAATATAAGGATGTTGCGGCAACCACAAATTATATTCATTAATGCATGTTTTATGTATATCAATTTTAGCTGCCATTTCAAAGCACAAAAGATTTCCTATAATGTTGATCAAAGATTTATAACACCTGTAAGAAAATAATATTTACACAAGTTAGATTAAAATATAAAAAATTGAAAAGAAAAAAATTACCTAGGAACACTAAAGCTGATATAAAAATATAAAAGGGTGAATTTAAAAGAATGAGAACAGATGCTACAAGATCATGTGAATTCTTAACGAATTATTCATGTGAATAGAACTGTTCCAAAGTTTTGTTGTTAAAGTTTAAATAAAATTGATCTAAACTATTCAATACTGCAGTGTTCACATGTAACTGGATGTATTTGCTTTAATATACCACTTTATACGATACATCTGAATTCGTATTCAGTGCCGCCTAATTTTGTGCCTGTGACTTCACTAACATATAAAATTTCAGCGACATCCTATTAGATATCTTTACAAAACAGAAAAATGTTACGTTACTAGTCGAAATTGCAAGCAAGGAGGGAAATATTTTGAAAATATTTTATTATTAGTGTATTGTTTTGTTAATTATAAAAATTATAATGTTTTTATTCCTTTACTTTTACTTTTATTCCCTGCATGAAACATGATTTCAAATAATTTAAAACTGTTTTTTTTTAAAAAAAGTTAAGAATATCTTTTCTTAAAAAATTCATTCATTCATTCATTCATTCAATCATTTATTTCAATTAAAGTATTATAGGTATGCACTGTATGTGGATTTTTTATTTTGATAAGGGGAAATTTATATACTAATAGTCATACTTTATATCTCATGTCAAATATACAGGGTGTTCCTTAAAGATGTGCAAATATTTATAATGGTGTGATTCTAAATGGAAAATTAATGACAGTTTGCTCTATAAACTATTTATGGTCTAAAAATGTTCCGTTGCGAAAATACGAGGTGTTAAAATTTTAGGAAAAGAAGGAAATTAATTAGCATTTTCGATACCAACAGTTTGAGATATTTCAGTGATATTTAGTATGTCAGAAATGCAAGTGACACATTCCAGGACAACTAGGTTTATTGCAAAATTGGATTCTTCAATAATTACATTAATTAATTTTGGACAATATAACGGGTTTTATTTTTTTCACTTAAAAACGGCGCATCGCAGGACAAAAACTCAAGAGTACTCTTATCTCTCAAATTGAACGAGAATTTCAATAATAATTTTATTTGGGAAAAAAACTGGCGTACCATTTTTTTATTTAAAAATATCAGTCAGTGCTCCTACGCATGCCACTATTATTAGAGCTAAAAATTAGGTTGTATTTTAAAACATACACCTTTATTAGCTATCACTACATACTAAATATCACTGAAATATCTCAAACGGTTTCGAAAATATAAATTAATTTCCTTCTTTTTCCTAAAATTTTAACACCCCGTATTTTCGCAACGGAACATTTTTGAACCATATATACATAGTTTATTTATCAATCATAGTTCATCAAACTATCATTAACTTTCCATGCAGAATCACACACCCTTAAATATTTGCATATCATTAAAAAACACCCTGTATGTATCTCAAATAATTGGTCGATTAGTTTTGCCGGCTCAATTTATCACATTTTGGTGTGATAATATTTGTGGTCTTTGATTTAAATACATCTAATCGTATAGGTAACTTTTAAATGTTAAATAAGAAAATAAAGCCGTTAAATATTTTATACACTTACTTTGTAAGAGGAATTGATGTAATAAAATCTGCGAGAGTTGTGTCTATTGGTAGAGTACCATCCTTAACTAAATTTATTATTGTTATGCCTGCAACTTCATTTATCGAAGGATCTTGTACCAAACATTTATTTTTTAGGAATTTTAATTCCGTGCTGTCTTTATTTCCAACTTTATATTTCTCCTTTATATTTTTTATGATTTTTGAAAATATTTGTGCAATTAAAATTGGATTGCTTGAATTTAGTGCGTTTTCTAACTCTTCCATACCTCTATGCAACCAACAAAACATCCAACCAAAGTTGGTTAAATGATAGATATTGGATAGGTTAGGTACTCGCTAAAAATGACCTAGGTTAAAATTGTTTAAAAACGTCAAAGTACTAAAACAAAAATTAAAGTATGTTAGTTAAATACTCGTACAACAGTTAAATGTAAAGTTATAGTTATAATAAATATTGTTTGTTACAAAATTTGACTCAGTTTATCAGTGACTATTTTAATTGTTTAATTAGGTTAGTATTATAAATGTTCACTTACCACGTTTACGTGTTGAATTAAATAATATACTTTTTTTCATGAGATGACGAATGCTAATGTAGGTAGATACTTATATATATTTATTGAGAAATTATTTCTTAAAAGCCAGAAAAGCTGAAAACACCATTACTTCACAGCTATTTCGTCTTTTGGAAAAATTTAATAACATATTTTTAAGCGAATTTTGTCAACCGTCTGGTTTGAAATTTTAGTGTAATAGGAGTAAGAATTTGTATTGTTTAATTTGTAACCTATGTTAATATCTCATTTAATTTTGAGATTTAATAATATTTAGTACAGTATCAATTTAAAATATATGTATAATAATTAGAATATGACTATCAAAAAATATTATTTTAAAGTTGGCACCAAAAGTAGTCTAAATTCATGACTTAAAATTTTTAGAAAATTACCCTGTAATATGAATTTTTTCAATTATTTTACATATCGTTTACAGCTTGCTGACAAAATCTAAAAAGAAAACATGCTTGCATATATCTTAACGAATTTAATACCTACTTACTAGGTATTAAACTACTTACTTACCTACTTGTATATTAATATAATTCGAAATAGAATATATATATATAGGAAGAACTTTTAAAATTCTAACTTTAGGAATCTGTTAATCTTAATTGGCAATGGTGAATACCAAAAATTAATGAAATGAAATTAACACAAATGATTGAAAAGTTAAATAGAAAAATTAAGAAAATTCGTGTCATACTCACTCGCCATTAGATGTACAGTTCATTATTAAATGCCCTGTATAATTTTTTAATTCTATGCAATTACATATTTTCTGTATATCATTTTGAAATTGTTAAATTATGTACCTACCTAACAATACCACAAATATCTGCCAACAACGCTTCACTCAATTAAATGAAGTATTTTAATATTTAGAAATGGGACTGTCACGACAAGAAGTTAATTTAAGGAGACTGTTAGCAAAATGTGAGTTAATGTGTAAAAATCAAAAAGAAGATGATCGTTTTGAAAAATATATCGAAACTCTTGAAGATATGTTACAAGAAGTAAAGAAATTATCTGAGTAAGTAACAATATTGATATAATTACAAATATATATCAAACAAAAATGTTTAACTAGTTCTAGCGAAGCAATCATGAACTATCAGAGAAGGATAGCTGCCATTAAAGTTGCGCTTGGTATCACTTTTAATAAATATGAAGATGAAAATGATCCAGAAAGCATGAGAAATAATTTGCTTGGTATGTAGTATGAAATTCAATAGATTATATATGATTTAACAAATTTTTTTAAATATCAAAAAAATTACCAGAACATTTTAGGTTATTTTTTTATGTTTTTATGAAAAATGTACAAATATTTTCTACTTTAAGATATCCTTGAACAATGTTGTATTTGAAACAGACTTAAAGTATAACATATTTTAGATTTTTTTTATTCATTAGGCCCCCGACACCGAAATGTTACAAAAGGAGGAGGTGATAATGTTGATGAAATAATAAATTACCATGAAAATTTGCAACAAAAGATTACAGAAGATATGTTAGCTTTAACAAAGAATTTAAGAGAACAATCGGAAACGGCTAATCAGATAATAAAAAAGGACACAGAGGTAAGAAATATAGATTAATTTAAAGGGTATAGGGTATATATATATATAGGGTATATTTTCAGGGTATAGGTATACCAAATTTTGATCAAAAAATTTTCTGATATAGATGGTTTCTAGGTAGATTTGCAATATTTTATCAGTTTCTATTTTTGAATGACAAACATTACCTAAATTTTTTGACGTATAAGAGCAAATTAGAGATTATTTTAATTATCCAAAATTAAAATATACATTTTTGAAAAATATGTGGATATTTGAGTAAATTCTAATATGTACAGTCGGCGCCACCCAAATGTGAACGGCAATATTGTACCGTGTAATTTAAACTTCAAATCATAGTCGTAAAATTCAATAGTTGTCAAATATACATATATGTCATTTAGAGCAAACGTAATTAAATGTAAACAAGTAACGTGAAATATGCCGGAGCATTTAACTGAAGCGCATAGTGCAAGGGCTATAGTTAAAATTGGTCTTTGAGTGAAGTGGCTGCTGATTTAAATGTCAGTAAGAGTTGTATATTTTATATTAAACAATGCTGGCGAGAACACTAATTACAAAGATCTATCAGGCAAGGAGTCTGGAAGGTTTCCAGTGACGCGGAAGACAATGCCTTGGTCGAATTTATTCATAAGAATACCCTCTCTGTGTTACACCACTAAAAAAAGTCTGATTTACTACAATAAAATCCAGATGAAATTTCCATAACTACCAAAATGCGTTCACATTTGGGTGGCGTCAACTGTACCTAAAATATATTTTTTCTGATCAAATTATCAAAAACTTTATTATGGGAAAAATCACTATCATTTACAGGATATCCCAAATTTTAAGTACGAACATTCAGGAATCCATTCATAGAGGAAGTAAAAAGTAAAAATGATAGTATACACTTGATTTTAACCCCACTATTTTTTAGATACAGAGTATTACAATTAAAAAAAAAGTGAAAATCTTTAAATATCTTCTTAACAAATGAAGATATGGAAATCAAATTTTGTGTGCACAATACCGTTAATAAATTGACTTTCAATGTGAAAAATATTAAGTCTAACTTCGAACAAGTTAGTTATTTTTTTCAAATTTTTTCAAAGATTTGGACACACTACTAGAAGAAAAAATATTTTATTTAAAAGACTACAAAATATTTTCAGTGGTGTCCCTGTACCTCAATACACTTTTAAATATGTCATATCACATATCTTCTTACTCCTTTAAAGATTCTTGTATTCGGATCCTAATACTATATTTTTTTAAACTTTAACCCTCTATATTTCAGAAAATATATATAATGTCATAGACAAAATAGCTATCGCCACAGACCACTACTGAAATAGGCCAGCAGTTTTAAATTTCCGAATTGCCGGTAGAGTACACCACCAGCAGAATTTTAGGAAGAATCAAATGCAGTGGCCCGCATACCTACGCGTATCCTAGCAACATATAAACAAGACTTTGGTAATGTTGCCAGGCGTACTTACGGATTTCTTTTGTACACTTTTTTATCAATATCAGTTTTTTGCCTTACTTTATTTACTTAAATGTATGATGTAGGTATTGATAAAAATGTTTTTAAAGAATCAACGAATATCTATGTAGTTTCATAGGATATTCTGCAGCGGTGTTACAATTAAGTTATTTAATCATAATTTCGTTAATTAGCTACCTACTATTTTCATTTTTTGGTATTGAAATACTGCAGAAAATATATTTCCATATAAACAAAATTCGTAATGATATTTTAAACAGCTTGTAATATAATTTTTTTAATATTTGATGACGATAAATTTATTTAATATACAAGGTGGGTTATTTATTAGTACGTCGCGGAATGTAGGTACAGTTTTTTTTTTGTATTTTGACATCCACTTATAGGTTTAATAATTAAAGATAGAAAGAAACTTTAAATACAAATGTACGACTTTTCCTTTATTTCATTTGACATCAAAATTTGTTGGCATAAAATATATGTTTAAAATTAAAAAAATCATTAAAATAATTAAAATTCATCCTTATGAAAATAACAAACAACGATTTTTATAACTAACCTTTACAACATAAGGAGAATACCTAAAAACAAAATAACATTAAAATACCTACAAATCAACATGCAAGTAATTGTGATGATACAGTTGAAAACATGTTTGAATTTACTATTAATTGCTTCAAAAACAAATTCAAAATTATCAAGCATTTCGTCCTTTATTTTTCTTTCAATACTTGTAAATTTTCAGATTTTAAAAAAAAAATATGTCTAAAGGACTGACAATGAGATCGGGGCTGTTTTCTGGCCACCTAAGGTTTCTAATAATATTCCTCCAAAATAAATTTGCCAATATTCCTGAAGAACTTTTGCACATTTTTGTTATTCGAATAATACAGTTAATTATGTTTTATTTTTCGTCATCAGAATAACCCATTGTAATTTTTTTAATTTTTTAAATTAAAATGGGTTATTCTAATAATGATAAATCCCATGTATTTTTAAAAGAAGGTTCGTTTCTGTCGTTTTTGTCTGATTGTGTGCTAGAGATAGAATTATAGTGTGCGATAAAGATAGAGTGACTCTGTCCTCATAGAGGGCTTCTCTCTCTCTCTGCTGTCTTCAGAAGTCTCCCCAGCAATTTCAGGACACCTAGGGAGGGAGCGTGGGGTAGAGCGTGTGGCCATTTTTAGCCTTCGTTATCGATCTATGATGTCACACAAGAAAAAAAAAACGGTTTTTGCTCGTAACTCGGAAATGGCTGGAAATATAAACAAATTTCCCCTTGGTTCTGAGTAGAGCACTCGGTAGCAGAGCGAGGTGTCACAATATATGAAAGAAAAAAAAAACAGTATTTGCTTAGACTCTAAGTATCAAAAAATCTCTCATGGTAAACGAGTGAAAAACGTCAAAACCCGCATGTCAAAAAAAAGAATCTGGACCAACGGTGTGTGACATCATAGGATAAAAAAGTGTTTATAACTCGGAAACGGTGTGTTGAATCGAAAAAATAATTGAAAATTCTCAACACCCCCCTTCCCCCCCGGGTTCTGTATTTTCCTTCTGCGTTGAATGCAAAAGGTTGGAAGTCTGTATGTCGAAAATAAATTTTAGAAACAAGAGGTGTGTGACGTGTTATAGTAAAAAGGCCGTATAACTCGGAAACGTTGTGTTAAATTGAAAAAATAATTGAACAATTCCCCACATCTCTGGTTCTGAATGTCACTTCTGCGTTAAATGAAAAAGGTTCGAAGTCCGTATGTGGAAAATAAATTTCGGAAAGAAGAGGTGTGTGAGGTGATACAGTAAAAAAGGTCTTATAATTCGGAAACGGTGCGTTGACTTGAAAAAATACTTAAAAAAATCTCCCCACTCCTCTGGTTCTGATTGTCCATTCTGCGTTGAATGGAAAAGGTCCGAAGTCATTATGTCACTATGTCGAAAAACAAAAAAGTTAGTCAAAAATTGCAACAGCAGTAGCGAACGCATTATCTTATCTCTATATTGATTGATGATTTGTTGTTTTTTTTTTTAAATAAAATTTGTATTCAACTACTTGAGGTTCCAGCAATTTTACATTGTGTTAATTTTTTTGAACACCTTGTGTCACAAATATGAGCACTACCAATGGCATCCATGATATGCAACACTTGCGTCAATAATTATTTTACCTATCTAAAGAAATCAACAATAAGAGAGCAGTACCCATCTACGGATACACAACCTGTATAATGCAATTTTTTTAAACATAGGTGTTAATATCGTACCATATTGGAAGTCGACGCACAAATCTAAAAACATTACTTTCGAGTTTTTGAATTTTCCCATTCCAAGGTGATATAAAATAAATAATTAATTAGGTAAATTCATAGTTTTAATTCTAACTTGATTTATTTTATTTAGCATTTAAGGCAAATGTGATTTCCAAACAGAAGATAAGTTCCATATCTCTTTAATTACATAATTGAAAGCATTAAATTTATTTAGCAGTTATTATTTGGCAACAAAGCCACCGCTGGAACTGCCGCCTATTACACTAAATTTCATTTCGGGTTGCCAATTTTCAGCATTTAAGAAGCAGTCTATGGCGATACGCTATATTGTCTGTGATAATATATAAGAACCATATTCTTACTTTATTTTCACTGGCGTGTCACAGTTTTAAGACAGATCAAACCAAATATGTCAGATCTACATCACTGGTTTGAGATGATACTTAATTTTTTTCACATTGAATGCAATTTTTTATTCACACTTTAATTTCAATATCTTCATTTGTACAGACAATATTTAGATATAACTTTTTTAACACTCTGTATCTCAAAAATGGTTTCTAATATAAATGTTTATACAGCAAACAAATAAAGCTGGTTAGATTAGACTGAATTTTTTTTCCTAGTAAATATTGATTTTATTTTGCTGCAGAAATTTAAATCCCATGAGACTTCTCTGATATTTCTTTGAAATTTCCAAATCTATAAAATTCTCTGATATTTTCAGATTTTCTAGATTGGTATGCACCCTGCTTAATTAGATCTCGCTTGTTATCATCAGCTTTATTAAAGATTAGTTTTAGAAAAAATTGTATTTATTTGCATGTTCCATTACATTCTACATATAATTTTATTTGTAGGTGGTTACTAGGTCTTCGCAGCTGACGGAACAGAATTATTCCAAACTCACCATTGAATCCTCCAAACTTGCTGAACATTCCAAAAGGGCATGGAAATGCTGGTTGTGGATCATGCTTGCCGTAGTTTTTATTGTTTTTATAAGTGGGTAGCTGCTTTTAATAATTAAAGTAACATAATCTCATCAAACATTTTTCAGATATGGTCCTTTTCATGAAAGTAATGAAGAAGAAGTACTGATTTAAGTAAAGGGTTATGATGATTATTTACTTGTTCTTCACAGGTTATTATTTATTGAACTTTACATTAGGGTAAAACCAGATCTAATTTGTTTTTTTAATAAATTTACTTGTCTCAAAATATGTTTTTCTGTACCATCGATTTAGGGCTTGTATACAATGCAGTGGCGGCTCGTGACATTGAGAATAGGTGAAGCATATTCATTGATTGACTAAGAAAAAAATAGCGCTGCGGGTGAAAATTTTCAAATTTTCAAGGTCAAACGACTTTAAATGAATCTGGAAATTTTTAGTTGCATTTGCAACATTTCTCAAAAACACGTTCGTGAGAAGGATTTGGTTTTATAAAAAATAGAAATATTAGTCCGGCTTGTGGACTTCTGCGAACATTAACGCACACCGTACATGTATGTTCCAAAGAAGCTTTGTGGTTACGATAGCTTCGTGCGACTCCCAAAATTGTTAAATCCCCCCTTATTCCACACGCCCGACTTTACACCCACAATTAAACACGACATAACGAAAAGTTTTTTTAAATGAACACTTCCACACAACCACTTATACTATTAATTCCGAATCTTCCGAACGTACACATTGTCTTTTAATTTCACCTTTTTTCCATATCGAGAGAATAAGACACAGGTCTCTCGCAATTTAAAAAATCCTTTTTGTACTCAGTTTTCCATCTGGAAAATGGCGTTTCCAATAAAATACATACTGGATCATACATAGGAAACATTTCCACAATTATTATACAAAACAAATATTAACTAAGAACAGTTATAATCGTGCACTAGGCGACGCATATCATATAAACTGTTTAAAGGCAAGCGAATCAGGCGATAGGCGATGATAATGCTGATTCAATATCCGCGTCACTTCACGCCGTATTTTTCTCCCATGTTGGCCGTCTCCTTTCCATGACAACCGCCGTAAACAACCTGCGAAGAGAAGCGGAATTTAGACCAGGGTCGGCAACCTATGACCCGCGGGTCACCAAGTGACCCATTTACTAATTTCAAGTGACCCATTTACTAATTTCAAGTGACCCACTTTATTTCCTAAAAAAAGTATAATATATAAAAATAAATTATAAAACAAACATGAGACGAATATTTTGAGAATAAACAAAAATTGAAAATAGATACTTTGTTTTTGCACGCACGTCAATTTTGAAATAACCACTTTTTTGGTTTTTGTTTGTTCATGGCAATATTTTTTTTTAAATAATTATTTCAAATATAAATGTGAACAAATATTTTCACAAATGAAATTTATTTTAAGCAAGAACAGGAGCAGGTTAACTACCGAAAATTCAGATGCTTGTATTCGTCTTAAAACGACTGACTATACACCAGACTTGACTAAATTGACGTTACAAGTTCAACATCAGGGGAGCCATTAATATCGAAGAGAACGTTTATAACTAAAGTTCATTCAACTATGTTTGTTTTTATAATAATTGGCATTTTATTAGTTTTTATAATAATACATAATTAAAGTTTAAAAGCGTATCGTAATTATTTTCTTAATAAAATGTATCTTATTATTCATTAAAAGACTGTTTTAAAATGAAAATATCACTAACCCAAACGTCCCTTTAATATTCACACTGTGGTTGATTTTAACCCGCAGCCAAAAAAGGTTGCCGACCCCTGATTTAGACTATTCTGACCTGCATCACATGCGTATACTAAACGTTGTACGGTACGAGGTTGATGTTCCCGCTCAACGAAGGCAATGTTTTTTTAGAAGGCGTTCATCGTGCAACTATTCTGTTTATTTATGCATATTAAATAAACAAACACAATACATTTTCGATATAGAATTATACCTAAATTATAAAATTTAAAATAATATTAAATTGCACAACCAAACGGACATTTTAGGTGAAGCGGTGCGTCACTTGTGTCTCCTGACGATCCACCACTGATTTATCCACATTTCGGTGCCGGTAATGAACTCTTGTCTTCCTATCCCTTTTCCAACACGTATACCCAGATCATGATTCCTTGTGGGAATTTTAATATTCATTTTAAGCACTCCTTGTGGAAGGCTTCCAAGACAACAAAAATCCCTAACACACTATCAAACTCGGACCATTGAAAATTAGTTGAGCTCAATATTCACTTGTCCAAGTAGTTTTCGATTTAACCCAAGCTAAACGTTTCTTCTAGAGTTCCATCAGCAATGGTTTTTCTTTTGCTTTGACAAAAACAAAATTTATATTTATATTTCGACATTAATAATTATTACTCCCAAGGATACTTTACCTTGTAAAAACTAACCGAAGTTGTGTATCTGATACCTCAATATGTTAATGTCAGTTACTTGGCTCCACACCACAGAAATTTGTCTCACAGGAGCCCTTTGGTATTTGCAGACATTAACAAGATCTGTTTGTCACTTTTGACAGAGAACCAGAACTCTTTACATGACTCTACATTATCAGTACAATTTACAACTGCGTGTCATAGTTTCGGTACAATTTTGTTGCGACGTCACAAACATAGACATACAAATTATGACAATGGACATTTGTTACTTAGTGACTACATACTCGGTTTATGCTGCATCTGAACATTACAAACAAATTAAGCAAAATATGACTGGGCAGGGTTTACAGACCAGAACAGATTAAATATAAAAATAGTTGTAAAATGAGGACGTTTATGTAGAATTCGCTTATTCTAAGGTTGTGTGATATTAACTGTTATTCATTCATCAATTAACATTTTTCTTTAAAAAAATATTTGATACTTTATTAAGCTAGGTTAAAATAGAAATTTTGGATGGGCAAGTTAAAATTTCTTGAGTGTTGCCTTTTTTCAAGCCACTATTTTTCCTCAAAACTGAAAAGAATTACATACTTTGGTAAAAATTTATTAATTAAATAAACATCCAAATATATTTAACTTAAAGCAGCAGTTAAATTAAAATCAGGTTTATTTTTGCTGAAATACCTATTGAAATCTAACTGTGACAATAGCTGAAGTAAATGTTCTCCACTGATTTTTTCGTGTAAGCTGTAAAGAATAAAAAGTAGGGACTCAATAACAGTATCACTCCGTTTCTGAAAGATCTCCAGTTCCTCCAATTCTGGCTCGGTTAAAATAGCATCCCATGTGGTTGCAACCAGACAAAACTCATCACATAATTCTAGTAATTTGATAATTACATTGTAAACCTAAAATAATTAGGGAATCTACTACTCAAATCATCAATAAATATACAGGCTGTCTGCAAATTTCACCAACAACGTTTGACTGCATATTCACGACGATAAATATGATCTACGAAAAAAAAGTTAAATTAAAACTTTTTGGTTTTTGAGTTACAGGCCAAGGTGTCAAAAATAAAACTAATTTAATTAATAACTTCATAACCCTTTTACTGATCACGTTAAAATTTGGCACATTTATATGAACTATTATGGCATATTATTTCCTAAAGCTTCAGTCAAATCGATAGACTGAGTGATAGTTTTCTCTGGTTACCTCTCCCTTTCAGCGCTCAAAACTTTTACAGTGGTCGTATTTCTTTAAAACCAGCAGCAACATTGAAAAGGTCGTTTTATTTTAAAAAAATATTGTCACTTGAGAAAATAGCCTACAGAAAGCCATTCTTGAGAAAAATGGCATTATTTGCAGGTCTGTACGTTTTTGGTTTGCATAGCTTTGAGTTCAGTAGGCGATGAAAACAAGATGTTGATTGCTGTGGCCATGGAGACTAGATAAGGAGCACGAACTCATACGGGAAAATTGACAAAATTCGAAAATCGAAGCATTGAGAAGTCTAAACCGACAACATGGCAATCATCTTAGAAATTGTCCAACCATAATTTATCGACTTTCTATAGTCAGTTTTCAGTTACACTATAATATAGTATATTATTGGTTATTCAAAAAAATATGGATTGTGATATACTCTATCTTATATGAATTCCTTTCCCATCAATTATTCCTATAACCTGCTCTGGAAATTCATATTGGGCAAAATATTGTTCGATTACAACTGCCTCATTATCTCGGCCATTCTATAATTTGTGGAGACAAGTTACTTAGCAAGTATGTAACTTTTCTAGTTGTTGTAGAGCTTAAGACAATGCAAAATTTACCAGAATCATGGGTGAAATAATTAAAGATGGCAAATTTTTCTTCAATTCTGTTAGCTACTTCCCATATGCTAACACGGAAATGTTAAAAAAACTTGGCCACTATATTCAGGTACAGTAATTTCAAAGTAGTTCTTATTTTTTACTCTTTCTGTTTCTTAGAATAAATCTATTTCATCATCACTCAAGCTGGACAATGCGTCTAATAAGTCATCTGAATCACTGGACTCAAAATCGGACATCTGTAATATTTTAAAAAGTTTATTTAAAACACCGAGTTTTTTTATATTCTATTTTTTATTACCACAAGTAAAAATTCCATATTAAAAATACAAGAATTACAATTTTTTTAAAGGCAACATCCTGTATAAAATGTGACTATTTTTTACTAACATTAAACTAAAATCTTTAACAAAGTAATTATCAAAAACATAAACCTTACTTATAGGTTAATATTAAAAAGATCACGTCATAAATTCCTTGAAAACTAGTTTCTTTCTACAAACACCAAATTCTTCTCATAAAGCTAATATTTTTTATTATCTATTTAGTTTAATTACAGTCCGGAATGACATATTTTCATGATTTATATAATTCAAAGTAGCTTACATTATTTATTTTAAAATTTTTTACACATCACAAAAATGACATGATTGATTTATAATTCAAACTGCCGCTTTTTATCTCCCCTCTCTACATATGGGACATATGGAACACTAGCGCCCTCTTATTTTTGTAAGATTTTTGTTTACATGGAGTTCGGACTCCTTGTATTGTCTTCATGGCTGTGGCTATCAGGTAATTTCTCATCACTCCACACATGCAAATTATGTCAGCAGTGTAACAAGACAATTATTAAATGTATGAAAACTAATGTTCACAAAACTTTAAAAAAGCAACTTCTTCGGCCACTTCATTTAACTCTTGCTCAAGAATTTCAATTCAATTCTATTTACAATTTTGCCACTGGCAGAGACAATATTTTTTTTAAATAAAACGACCTTTTCAACACTGCTATCCGATTTAAAAAAATACGACCAGTGTAAAAGTTTTGACCGCTAAAAGAGAGAGGTAACCGGAGAAAATTATCACCCAGTATATGGATCTGACTAAAGCTTTAAGAAATAATACGCCATAATAGTCCAAATAAATGTGCAAAATTTTAACGCGATCGGCAAATGGGTTATGAAGTTATCAATTAAATTAATTTTATTTTTGTTTTTTGACAACTTTGAAGTCTTGTTACTCAAAAACATTTAACTTTATTTTCGTAGATCGTATTTATTTATCGTCATGAATCCAAACATTGTCGGTGAAATTTGCGGACACCCTGTATTTATAAATTATGTAGAATTTATTATACTGTTTTCAGTTTTGATTAAATATTAGTTTTCAATTAATATTACCTTGCTGGGAACATTATACTGTACGGCTGGTATCTGATACAAACGATGTTTATTTTTATATGTATGTTCCTAAAAAATATCCCGAAGTAATACTTTTAAACAGATGCCACAGCATAATGATCTTACCTCGTCGGGTGTCAAAACAAAAGTTTTTGCTAATAAATTACTAATAAATTCATGATGCACTTTAATAATATCTTCAAATTCATTAGCATTTTGAACTGCCTTTAACAAAAGAGAAAACTGAGCTTCTATAACATCAACTTGTAAATAATACTGCAAATTATTGACGAGAAATATTAAATTCTGGCGAAGTGTCCAAACTCTTCTATCACTAAAAGATGAAGATATTTCAGCTTATATAAACATAAACAGTAGTAGTACTTTATTGGTGTTAATACAAGAAGCTTACACGATTTAAAAAGTAAATAAATAAAAAATAAAAGAGTGTCAATTAGCAACATACAGAACCTTCAGAAATGATTACATGCCATAATGACCAGTAATTTTGTTTGGGACAGTAATTTTATTCAAGTTGGCAATTAAATTTTGGTAAAATTAAAACAGTAAGATAAAGATTACATTAAAATACAACATTCTGTTTCACCGGCTGGTGCTTGGTATAATTTTTTACGATTCTATTCAACCAATCAGCAATCACATTATCTCGAGCATAGACATAACGGTTTGTCATTGTTCATTGTAAACAAATTATTAACATTGGTGACGTTAAGATTTAGGGATTTTTAGCTCGACGGTCACATGGCTTGTAAAATGGATGCATTTTTTAGGCACAGACGTATTATTTATATAATAAATAAATTTTTTTACTCACATCTTCTGCTTCTTTGAAACGTGTTCAGCCCACAGTTTGTGAAGATCAATTTGTGTTTTACGTAACCGTAACAAATAACAAAATAATTTATTATACAGCTCCATCACTTTTGGATGAAAAACGATATGCAAAGGCCACTGAATTTCAAAATTAATTTGTAATTTTGCCCAAGGATTACCTGTAATTATGTCATTACAAAAATATCTGAAGAAACCATAAACATTTTGTGCTTACGTGTGTTATCTGAATTGGATGAGGTAAGCTCGAATTTCAGATAAGTTTTATCATTTTCACCATATATTTTTCTAGCTGTCTCAAGAAAAATAAAATTTAAATTCTGTACGACAGATTCAGATGAAGTATCTTTTATATGATTTTCTGCAATAGTAATGAATTGCTGAAATAGTTCTCCCCTTCCTAAAGCATAATAATCTCTGATTAAGTGCAAATGCTCAATTAGATGGCCTTCGTCTAACATTACAGACCAAAGGTACTATAAAAATAGAAGTTATAATCCATTATCTTAGCTTGTAAAAAAAGCAATGTTACCTTCGTAAGCTTTACTCTACATTCTTCAATAGTTTTCTGAAATTCAATATTATCAAAAGTTTGAAATTCCAAAGATTGAACTTTTCTGTAATATTCAATATCTTTCCCTTCCCATATATCTCTTTTATATTTAATTTGATAACTATCATCACTAGATCTCTTTGGGTCATTTCTTACAATCCAAACAATTCTTCCCATAAACAATATGCTCTCTGCTGTGTCTTCATTTATAAATAATGGAACCATATTCCAATTTATATAGAATTTTCTGACAACTGGAGGTTTTCTTATTCTACTTTTCTTCTACATAAGAAAATATTAATTTTGATTAGTAATGGATGAATTTACAATATTTGTAATAAACTTTTATTTTCTGTCAGCATCAACAACAGTACAGTGTTTTAGATTTTGGTCTTTTAGGATCCCATGTACAAGGTGGCTCGCCATAAGTGTTCACCCCCTATTATAAAAAGTGTAAGGATAAAAATTGTAGGTAACCTTCTAAATTTTCAAAACTTAAAGACAATTGAGCATCTAATTACAAAGACGCATATTAGTTTTTTTAAATAGAACATCTTGTATATTTTCGCAATGTTTTATTGAGATTAAATTGATGATATAAAGTTTGAAGAGCTTATCTATAATAAGCAAGATATGGCCAAAAGAATATACTATAATTCTAAAGTATTAGAAAGATGGTACCAGTCTGTGATGCTAACAAATTATATTATTGTTAAGTAGGTATAGATTCTATCAAACTTTATACAGGGTGTCTCATAATTAGCTGCCAACCCTGAACAGGCCGATTCTATGATCAAAACTAAGTAAAAAAGTTCATATGAACATGGGTCCGGAAATGCTTCCTAAGGGCACAGGGACCCATTGAAGAGGGAGGAATGGAAATCATTTTTTTGCAATATCTCTCAATCGCGTTGTGATAAATGAATGAAATTTGGTATACACAGCTAAATTTTGATGAGCAATTTGATGGACTAATCCATTTATTTCCACAAGGTCCATTGGGGTGGGTACGGGGGGGCCCTTGGTACTTTGCGTGTGTAACTTTTTCATCTTTGACTTTTTAACAAATTGGACAGCAAATTCCGTTTTCCCGAACTGTTTTACGTTAAAAAGGTACTCTTGTTTCAAATCGTTATCTTTAACGGTTTCTGAGAAAATCGCTCTTGAATTAATCCCACTTTGGTCAATTTCATAGTAATTTAAACAAAATTATCAAGGTATTCTTATGTCAAAGTATTGTCAACCCGATTGCCAATTTAATAGTTCTAAGCGAAAAAAATGGAAGAGTTTACGGGACAAGAGTTAGTTGATATGATATTTATTTATGGCTTTTGCGATGGTAATGCTGCAGCGGCAGAACGCGAGTACGGGAGAAGGTTTCCAAACCGAAGGCTGCCATCAAGGAGGACATTCCCTACGGTATTCCGCAACTTAGCTGCAACCGCCACTTTTCGAAAGGCACCGGGTCAAGGACGTCCCAGGATTAATAGGGAAGCGGAGGTCCTTGACGCTATTGAACAAGATCCTACGACTAGCATACGGAACATTTCAAGGCAAATAAATGTTCCTCGGCCAACGGTACTACATATCTTAAAGATTTCCTTAACAGAATTGATTAGATGTGCTACTAACATTTCAGGTTGGAAGAATATTAAAGCGACAAGGTCTACATGCCTATCACTATCGACGTGTACATGGCTTGATACCAGAAGATTTTGCGCCACGTATGCAATTTTGTCGCTGGATTTTGTCGCTGGACAACGAGCAAGCTTCCAAAATTTTGTGGTGTGACGAAGCTACTTTTACCCGAAATGGAAAATTAAATTTTCATAATTCTCATTATTGGGAAGAAGAGAACCCACATGTTGTTCGGAGAACAAACTTCCAGCAACGGTTTTCCATAAATTTATGGGCGGGAATAATTCACGACACTCTGATTGGACCTATTGAAATTCCACAACGTCTCAATTCAAATCTTTATTTAAACTTACTTCAAGAAAATCTTCCCCAAATTCTCGATGATCTGCCTCTAAATTTACGACGTAACATGTTTTTTCAACACGATGGAGCCCCGGCACATAGTGGTCGCAATGTTCTAAATTTCCTAAACGAAAATTTCGCTGGACGGTGGATAGGGAGGCACGGACCGGTAGCTTGGCCGCCGCGTTCTCCCGACCTAACCCCGCTGGACTTCTTTTTCTGGGGATATCTAAATCAAAAAGTTTACGCCACCGAAGTCGATACCCGTGAGGAATTGCTGCAGCGTATCAATGATGCAGCCAATGAAATTCGTCAAAACCGTTTTAGCATCTTAATAGCTTCGAGAAGTGTTACACGTAGGGCAAGACTTTGTATCAGAGAAGGTGGAGGGTTTTTTGAACAGTTTTTAAAATAGCTTGTTGTCTGTTATCAAAATTAAGTTTCCATCTTATGATCCCTTCGAAAAGTGACGGTTGCAGCTAAATTGCGGAATACAGTGAGGAATGTCCTCCTTGATGTCAGCCTTCTGTTTGGAAACCTTCTGCCGTACTCGCGTTCTGCCGCGCAGCATTACCATCGCAAAAGCCATAAACAAATCATCATATCATAATTGTTCTACATCAATAATGTGTATTACTGATTACGTATTAAATTATTATTATTATTTTTTGTTTAAATTACTATGAAATTGACCAAAGTGGGATTAATTCAAGAGCGATTTTCTCAGAAACCGTTAAAGATAACGATTTGAAACAAGAGTACCTTTTTAACGTAAAACAGTTCGGGAAAACGGAATTTGCTGTCCAATTTGTTAAAAAGTCAAATTTAAAAAAGTTACACACGCAAAGGACCAAGGGCCCCCCCGTACCCACCCCAATGGACCTTGTGGAAATAAATGGATTAGTCCATCAAATTGCTCATCAAAATTTAGCTGTGTATACCAAATTTCATTCATTTATCACAACGCGATTGAGAGATATTGCAAAAAAATGATTTCCATTCCTCCCTCTTCAATGGGTCCCTGTGCCCTGAGGAAGCATTTCCGGACCCATGTTCATATGAACTTTTTTACTTAGTTTTGATCATAGAATCGGCCTGTTCAGGATTGGCGGCTAATTATGAGACACCCTGTATAGTAATTTCTCTATTCCACATTCATTTTGTTGAGCATTAAGTAGGTACCAAATATACTTTCGCAATGACATCCTTGCAATATAATCTTAGTTCATAAATGACTGTTATTATGCAATATGGGACATTTTACTTCTTGAAATAAAATCTGTCATTTGCACAGCGTTAAGTAAATTAATTCTTCAATGCAGCAGATACTGTGCAGTCATGGAAAATTAGACAATATTTGCCCTTTTTCCTAAAAATGCCAAGTTGGAGGCTACTTGATGATACAATCCTAAATAAAATATGGAAACAAAGAGATCCTTTTGTAGTAGCTGTTTTTCATGTCTGTATTTGTCAAAGGTGATAAGAGAACATCAAAAATACAAAATACTTCTTTTAATGATTACATTAACAATTTTCAACATATCAGATATACAGGGTGTAGACTTTCACTGGAATAAATTCGAATAATTTTTTGAAAAATTCCTGACACATTAATGTTTGAATGTATTTACCTACCTTTTTCAAGCAATATGCTTGCTTTTTTTTGACCCCTCATTGGAAAGATGACAGAAAGACGAATCCAGCATACTGATCACATTTATTATTTTTCAAGTGGTTGAGAGTTGCATACCATTAAAATGTGATTGTTAAGTTTCTTACTTTTCAACGTAACAATTGCTCAAAATGTGCACCATTTGTTGGCAACATCAATGTTATTTGGTTTTTGAATGTAAATCTTACTTTTGAGATGAAGGAAAGAATAAGAGATGAAACCAGGCAATAACACCGGAAATGTTACGTAATGTAAGGGACGAATCACAGATTAAGATGTTGCAAACAAGTAAATGGTGCACATTTTGAGAAATTGTTACGTTGAAATGTAATAAACTTAATTACATTTTAATGTTATGCAACCCTCAACCTCTTGAATAATAATAAATGTGATCAGTACGCTGAATTTGTCTTTCTGTCTCCTTTCCAATGAGGGGTCACATGCATTTGAAAAAAAAAGTAGGGGTGGTTTCCACCCTCCTTGAAGGGCTACATTTAGCATATTGCTTGAAAAAGCACATTCAAACGTTGACTTGTGTCGAGAATTTTTCGAAAAATTATTTAGTTCCTAGGTAGAGAATTTATACCAGTTAAACTCTCCACCATGTATACAGTATCGGACTGGTCATATAGTCGAAGTGCCATCTGCCAGCCGGCCCCCCAGCTGCGCGGGCCCCCTGCCCTACCTACTCCCTGGTTTACGACCACATGTAAAATAGTTCATTCATACTGCATAATGCCACCCGGGTCCTTTAGGCCCAGTCCGACCCTGCCTGTATATACTCATATTGATTATATTTCTACCATTTTTAGTTTCTATTTTGAATAATTATTTGTACTAGGTAGCTGTTTACTGGGTATTACTGTATAATTCAATGTTAGTTGAGGCATGTAGCCTCATTTGATATTTTTTAGAAACAAATTGTTAGAAGCTGTTTGAATTACCTTAATACATTTAAAAAATTATTAAATAATAACACACCTTGTGGCTAATTTTAGGTGTGCCTGATTTACAGGTCATTTGCACACACTTCTTGTATGTGCAATATCACAGTTCTTCTATGTAACGTCTAGTCATATTTAATTTAATAAATTATTCAGTCGATAGCCGCACAGGTTAAAGCGTCAGTACTTAAATCGTGTGCATGCTCTGTGCAGGTATGGTAGGATGGAAGAATGTTGGCTTGGGTCAATGTGCGAGATTGACACTGGTTGGCATTTGACCACCCCCCTAATTAATGAGGTTTTCCAGGTTTCCCTCATTCCTGTACTGAATGGTGATTAGGGCCTACCCATGAGTCGTTCCTGGGCACAAATGAGGCCTACATAATAATAATTTGCCGCCTCCTCTCCCGCACAAGTCTCCGACTTATGGGCTAATTACAATTATCAATATAACATTTAATAAATTAAATAATTTGTCAGTTCCTGCTGACGAAAATTAAAAGTAGTCACATTTTAACGATGAAACTTGGAACATATATCATTTTTTGGAAAATTTTCAGTCCCATATAGAGAAAAAATGGAAATAGATTTGAGGCAAAACAAATTGAATTAAGGTTTGCCGACTGACATGGGCACAGCTAGGTGGGGGCAGGGGTGTGCATGGCCCCCTTTTTTTTTTAGAATCAATTAATCAATTCAAAACGTGTTCAAATTTTATATTGGTAAGTCGCTGATTGTGAAAGCTTTTTTTTATAAAGGCCTCCATTGAACTTACAGCTCTGAGCCCCACCCTAAGCAGGGTTGTTGACCAAATTTCAAAAAGTAGATAATATAATTCTACACGTACTAATTAGTGTGTATGCACAATTAGAGATTGAGAAATGCGTCGGAACAGTTTTAAAATAATTATTTAAAACTGAATTTTTTATAATATTTCAAAACGGCTGTGACATCATAAGGGGCACCTTGTAGTGAAATTATGTGTAAATGATTGCGCGAAGGAAAAAAATTGGAGGAAGAAGATGCTCTGTCAACACTGGCAGTAGTGTCAGTCTGTCAGTGACATTGTCGCATAAAATATTTTCAAGTCTACGAGTTATTTTCCTTAATCTTCGAATTCCTTTATTAAGTAAAATTATTATTTAGTAAATCATTTAATATCTTCCTTCCCTTAGAATTAAAGCAGAATGTGTGAAACGAGATTTGTGAAAGCTATTTCGCAAATTTTACCGAAAATTAATATTTTTATGATCATGAATTGAATTTTTAAAAAGAGATGACCATTTAAATATTGGCGAAATCAGAGGTATAAAAGCAGTCAAGTAAGGATTAACATATTTAATGAATGATTTTATTGTGTTTATTTATAATATAAATAATAAATATAAATACCTATTTATTTATAATAATGCGATAATGCAATTGGCTATGTGGAATGTGGAACAAAACACCACTTAAATTTTGTTGAATCCATTACAACCAGGAAATGAATAATAATTATCACAAATACTCTTAATTGATAGACTGTTGTCACTAGTGTCACTATTGTCACTTTTGTTTAAAGTTTAAAGAACAGAAAACAGGGCAATAAGGTTTGATGGACAATTTTGATATATTTTCTTCTTCTTCAAAATTATGCAATAGGATCGCTACTAGCTTCTTGTTCAATTGCCCCTTATGACGTCACACTAGTTTTTAAGTAACACAAAAATTCATAAATGATTTCTACTACTAATTTGTCATATATTTAAAATTTTACTATACAGGCAGGTCCTTCTATATAAAATCTTTGTAACAACAATTTGTATATGGTTTGTTTTTATAGTCAACAACCCTTATGCCCATACCGACTGAATATGAAAGAAATATATTCTAGAAACATGAAACAGACAAGTAAATAAATGTATAAAGTGCACTGAGATGCTTACGCTATAGTATTATTAATTGTCATTAAAACTATATAGCTACAAATTTCACATACTTTTCAAAAAATGTAATTTTTTTAATATCTTTTTCTCCTAAACCAAAAATCTCCTTTTATATCTAGATTGCCCTTATTTGGTATTCACTCAAGCAAAAAAAACTCCTTCTAATGTTGTAATTAAAAATGTTCTCAATCTGATACGGATTCTAATTGGCCACTTATACTTAATTTATGAAGTAATCATATTTTGTTAAATATTTACATACAGGATATTTACAAAATATCGAGGTGAAAATTATTACCAAATATAATTCAAGTTTGTTAAAAATAAAAAAAACATCTGTATTTATCCGTTATTGAAAAAAAAGAACAGAAGAGTTTTTCAGATCTAAGGTCAGCAACCTCTGTTATAATTTACTTTGCAAACATCCTTTGAACATTTTTATGAAAAATATCTATGTCAATATATAAATGATTCCCTAAAAAATGGTGTAGACACCATGCTTCATTGTCAAAATGTGACCACTTTATTTTTTACCAGCCAGCGACCACCTTAACATCTCTAGTGATGGGCAAAAATGTGACACACTTCTAACGTTACAAGTATTACAGGTTCAGAAAAATTCTGCTTCTTTGTAACATCGTTGAGTTATCCTGAATACTACATAGATCTAATATAGTATACTATGGATGGAATGCAGAGAGAGAGGACAGGGGACAACATGTAAAGTGGGATGAAACTAGTCTAGGGTCACGTGACTTAGGGCACTTTCAGACTTATCACGGGCGATTTGTTATATCCACTACGTGGTATTAAGTGTTATTTATTTGACACATAAATTTGAGTATTTTTTTATTGTTGTTACTATTTAAAAGAAAAATAATTTCCTAATCAGAAATAGAGTCGCTTTTTAAATCAATGTAGCATGATTTTATCCTAGGTCATGTGACTAGGGCATATTGCTGCCGCTTTCGCTGTTCATGTTGGAACAGCTAAAATGCGCAAAAAGTGGGCTTTGACTCCATCCGTATACTACTAAATCTATGGTAAAATCCCTCAAGAATTATATATAACTATATCAGAAAGATTGAATCTGGTTCTGTCTTTGCTTAAAAATTATTTTATTAATCAAATTTCTAACAAATTTGTGAGGTGTCAAACGTGATAAATTGAGTTATTTGTATTATATTAGAGGATAGTGATTTCTAATATAATTATTCTGTAGCTATTGCTATTTTTGTTGTTATAATAACTGGATATTTTCTTGCACAAATGTTGCAAAAACTACCTTAATAATTAAATATATTAAAATGCATAGGTACCAGTCAAAAAATTACAGTAATATATTGTGTTACTCAGTTCTAATATCTAGTTACTGTAATTTCTAATTCCCCATTTATCCGAGAAAAAAAAAAATCCTTATTACAACATATGTCCCTTCCAACCTACAGTTCTGCAATTCGCAGTTTTATATTTCAAAGGATCTGATGGTTACTTCTCGTAGTAGTAACAAGAAATGGTGTTCCAACAAAATATCATTACAAAATACGAGCCACCACTACATCTCATGGAAATGCTTATTGACAAGCTTATTGTTTACTATTTTGGACTAAGGACCACTTCAAATAAATCAATTTCACTTACAAATGTTAAAATTTCACTACTATCTAATGATGATTCTTTCATTTGTTCAGGATAAAGAAAATCTTCATCAGCAGTCTTTCCATCTATAATGAAAAATTCCCCAAAAGCATCCACTAAATCTCCATAAATTATCCAATTACACAAATGTCTATAGAAAATCGTATTAATAGATTTAATTATTCTGAAAAAAAGGTGTATAAGCTTAATTTTTGTTTAATTCATTTTCAATTTGATAACTTACTGATCAGCTGCGGTAGCTATCTGATCCATTCCACAATTAATATATTTATGCAACCTTCCTATTAATAAACATCCATGTACATTGTCTTTTTCTATAACCTGGATCATAGAAAGTAGTACTTGAAAGAGTTTTCGATATTTTTCTATAGAGCTAAGTATAAATGTTAACGATAATTGAGGATTCTGTAAAAACATATCTTCCAGTCTGATAATTTCTTTTCTGTAATCCTCTAAGACTTTATGCATTCCACTGCAAAAGGCATTGATATAAAGACCTGCAGATACTTTCATTGTCGATTCTACTTTCGTGGTCTCAGATGACAATGATGATGTAATTCCTCCTAGTCCTACAAATCACAACAGAAATTAAATTGCCTTCATAAATTTTAACTCACCTCCTCCATTTGGAATTTGATGTAACACACGTTTGCTAAAAGCTAAAAGTTTATAATAATCCAGTGCAATTTCCACAATGATTTGTAGCAACTTCTGCTCCCCAGGATGTAGAAATTCTTGTAATTCAAATAAATGAGTCCACTAAAACAAATTTCTGAAATATATTATTATATAAACAACCGTTACATACTTCATTAGTATCTAAAATATCAACTTCACTTGGACAATTCCATAAATAAAATAAAGTTTCATGAATCATGATTACTGTTTTACTGTTGAATGGAAATTAATAATTCTATTAAATTAATTCTCTTAATTTTTAAATTTTTTGACAAATAAACAGTTTGCTTTTGTGAACAGCGTTGCCAACCAATCGGAGCTGCTTTAGGGTGTAGAACTTCAAGCTCCTCTTATTAGTTTGGGTCGTTGAGTTAGAAGTTTCCACTCAACGTTTGTTCCAGTGTCCAGTTTATGTTTTTATTTTTCATTTATTTTTAGCCTGGATCCACATCACATACTTCTATAATAGTATATATAACAGAAGTATGTGATCCACATGCATAAGTGATCACGTATATGCGAAATTTGGTCGATCCGTAATAGTTCATGTTCATATCTTAAAGCATATACTGCTGAAGGCATCGTTCCGCGCACGCCGTTATTCCATGGCTAGAAATTGGCCTCAATGATTTGGGATCACGGGGGATTATCCCTCTTTATCCTGCCTCATCTCGTGTAGGCCTGGACAGCCTTCGTAGGTGGGCCCCATTCGTCGTCTACCCCGAATGCAAATGCAGCCGGTGCAGGCGCCTTGTGGGACCTCCTTTTGTCATGGCTGGGCCCCGCCGGCTAGGGCTCTTTCTTCTGTCGCTCTTCTTGCTTCGCCGGCTCGTCTGTGTAAACCCCGGGGGTGGTGTCATATTTATGTGTGGTATGGTTGGGTAGGGCAGTGCGGCTATGCAGCCTGGGATGCGCTTTGCTAAGGTGGCCCTTAGGCTAGCGCGGGAGGGGAGGGGTAAGGAGGGTNCTAGCAACTCAGCAGGCGATTTTCCATTGTCAGCAGAATAATAATAGACACTTATAAGTAAAGAATTGTTATAAAACAATATATGAATAATGTGAAAATATATATACAGGGTGTTCGGATAACATTAAGATACTCCCTTCTCAAAATGTTGTCCAAATATCTACCCTTGATTTTTGTGGAAGTTTTTACATAAATTTTAAATTTAACACGCTTTATCATCGTTAATAACTTTCAGACTAAGGTAAGCTAAATCGTAGTATTATTTTTATATAAAAAACCTACTCTTTCTCTGCGTCCCATTAATTTCGGGACATCATCTAATGGTCTTCATCGGGATGGTAATACTGATATTCATAATCTGCAAATACAGGGTGATTTTGAAAGTGGGGTATTAATTTTAACTGATGACAGTAGGCATTAAAATAAATCATTTTACAAGAAATTGCTCTAATAAATGTGTTTTAATAACCGAGATAACTGAGTTTAAAGTTATTGCAAATTTTGAAGCCGGCTCTGTAAATCCCTAACTTACCCTAATAGGTGAAGCAACGGAACACGCTAATGTTGGCCGATACGTTATCGATAAGCCACGTGTTAAGTAGCGCGCGCAGTCCTTGCTTTGATTGTCACGCTTCCTTCAGTTAGTATGTATTATAAACGAATTGTGTTTTCGTTATCATTTTGGTGTTTTGTATTGTGTATTTAGTATCTTTTTATGTTAATTTGCTGGCAGAGTGATAAAACAATGGCCCATGTGTATAGTAATAATGAACTTGTGGATATGTTGTTAGTGTACGGAGAGTGTAATCAAAATTCGGCGCATGCTGCTCGACGCTATGCACAGAAATTTCCTCGTAGGTTTCATCCCTCTGCAAGACGATTTGTTTATTTAACAC